AGAAAATAATGTTTTTTTCAGGAATCCAGGAAAATTTACTTTTTATGTTAAAAACCCCAAACTGAATATACTAAGATAATTCTGGATAACTTTTCTTTATAGTTTGAAAAATCTAATTTTTTCATATTTGCATAAAATGTTATATTAAAAGTCACTGCCCAGGGGCTGGGGTTATGACTCAGCAGTAGAGCACTCGCCTAGCATATTCGAGGCCCTGGGTTCAATCCTCAGCACCACATATAAATAAATAAATAAATAAATAAATAAATAAATAAATGTATTGTGTCCACCTACAAGTAAAAAAAAATTTAAAAAAGTTATTATCCACAAGATTGATTGTGACAGAAGAGATTAATGTGTAAATGGGACTTTCTAATACTTGCCTTTGGTTTCAGGTTAATGCAGTCCTTTGCTGTCTCTGTTCTGAAATTGTTTTAAAGCCTGAAAAACAAAAGATTAACATTCATAAGTGCTTTATGATTTACAACCTGCTTTACATATTCTATAGTTTTAATCCCCTTAACAGCTTCCTGAGTTAATTATGACAATTTAGTAATGCAAATTTTTAATTTTTTCTTGTGAAAATRTATGTTCATTGCAGAAAATTTAACATTGAGAAATAAAAATAAACTTTAAATGACCTATAATCCCACCATCAAATAATAACTATTTTTAAAATTTTACTTCTGTTTTTTCAATCTGTTTTTAAAGATTCATGCTTTTATAGCTGGTTGAGGTGGCACATGCCTGTAAACTCAGAGGTCTGGAAGGCTGAGGCAGGAGGATCTCGAGTTCAAAAAAAGTAAGTTCAACAAAAGCAAGGTGTTAAGCTACTCAGTGAAACTCTGTCTCTAAATAAGATAAAAAGTAGGGCTGGGGATGTGGCCTCAGTGGCCAAGTGCTCCTGAGTTCAATCTACCCCCACCCCATCATGCTTTTATAAAAACAGAATCATTTGCATGAGATCTGCTAATTTACCTAACAATATATCATTCATATGTTTTTATGGCATTTATGCATTCCTCTTAACAGTGTTCTCAATCTTTTTACATTAAGACCTCATAAAGAATCTAATGGGATGGGCATGGTGGTGCACATCTGTAATCCCAGCAACTCCAGAAGACAGATCAGAAGAATTGCAAGTTCAAGTCCAGCCTGGGTATTTTAGTTAGACCCTATTTCAAAAGAAAAAAAATAAAAAGGATTGGGGATTAGCTCAGTGGTAGAGTTCTCCTGGGTTCAATTCTCCCAACAAATCCAAATAAACATACAAAACTAATGAGCAGGGCATGGTGAGTATTCTTAGCTTTTTTGCTGCAGTGACTAAATGATCTGACCAGAAAAATGGTAGAGGAGGAAAATATTTATTTGAAGGCTCCTGGTTTCAGAGGTCTTGGTCCATAGAAGGACAGCTCTATTCCTTGGGGCTCAAGACCTGAAAATCATGCAGAAGAGTATGGAGAGGAAWGTGGCTTACATGGCACTCAGGAAGCAGAGAGAGGTCTCTACTTGCCAGATTCAAATATATACCCCAAAGCCATGCCCCCAATGAACCACTTCCTCTAGCTACCACTCAGTTAATCCCATCAGAGATTACTGAACTGATTAGGTTAAGGATATAGCCCAATCATTTTTTCCTCCAAACCTTCTTGCATTGTCTACCATGTGAGATTTTGGGGGACACCTCACATCCAAACAATGACTTTTGTGTGCATGCTCAACTATTCCAAGACTGACACAGGAGGACCACTTGTGCTCATGATTCAGGACTAGCCTGGACAACATAGTGAGATCCTATAAAATAAAACAACAAAAACAAAAGTTTCTGATGAAAGCGCCCTTCCCTATGCTCCTGAAGCAGCAGCTATCCACAGGTCAAATTTCTAAATGAGTGAATAGATGAGGATATAGTATTTGTGGGATTTGAAGCTTATATAATTTGGGAGAAGGGCCTCTTTTATTTATCATTTTCAATTTTTTGTTAAGTTGTATGCTAACTTTATGTATGTATGTATGTATGTATGTATGTATGTATGCATACTGGGATTCAAATCCAGGGCCTTGTGCATGCTAGGCAAGTGCTCTGCCTCTGAGCTATATCCTCAACCCCTTAGGAACATTAAGAATGCAAAATATAGAAAAGTGGCAACACCTATCCAACACTTTGGCTGGAAGTGGTATTTTTCATAGAAGAGGGAATATTATTTTTTCCTCAGAGAATTCTGTTTATAAATGTATATGTTCATTGTATCAATTTCTTTTAAAACTACAAGTGGATCATACAACCAATAGAGTTCAGTACCTTGTTTTTTCCCAATGAATATTATATAGTGAATCATTTCTCTCTCTCTTTCTCCCCCCCCCCCCCGTTATTTTGCTGCAGCCAGACTGTGGCAAGGAGCTGGGTAGACTGATTTGTGGAATCCTAGTTTAACTAATAACATCATATGGTCAAACTCTGATTTCCATCAGATGATCTTTTTTATCTATATTTTTTGTGCTCTTAGGAATTGAGCCTGTGGTCTCATGTACTCTCCACTGAGCCACATCCCCCCAAAATTATATTTAGATTTACACATTGTAATAAGGTTGGTCAAATAAGTTGTTTAAAACAGTGGAAAGAGTGACCAACAGGGATTCATTCTATGTTTTATATGGTTCAAAGTGAGGAGATGATCTAAATGTAACTTTGGAAATCATAGTTTATTGCCACACAAGAAGGATTTTTTCCTTTTAGGTTAATATTGTTTAAAGAGGGGCAAAATCAGAACACACCTCACAGAGAATACGCTTGATATATAATATATATTAACCMCATAATGAGTGAATTCCAAGTTATTAGAACTCAATTATTAATTGCTTAATTAGGATGGAAGTAGGCCTCTGTGGAAAGTAAAGTCAAATTAAAGAGTGAGGTGAGTCTTTGTAACAGTGTTCTGGGGGAGAGATGGCATTTATTATAGTGGGGAGGAGTCCTTGCTTCTAGAGAATTGTGCTGGAGGGTGAGGCTTTAGGGGTTGGCTGGGAGGCTAACAGATTATGACCCCATCATAGCCTGAGCTAGTGTTTTTGGAGAAGTTGCTGAGAGTGTAAACTCTGCCTGAGCTCTTAACATGTCTGCAAAACTCTTGAGTTTATACGTATTTTGAATTTTAGTAGTTGAGGTCAGTAACTCACATGTGGGGCCTGATAAGGTGTGAAGTCATATTCTTCAGGGAAGGRGTGTTGTTCCAAGTTCTTATTGTAGCAAAACCTATCACTCACTAGCAAACTATGTGTTATAGAATCATTTCAAGGATAATCATTTCAAGGATTCTGGGCTAGCCGTGTGGGCTAATTTCCTGGGTTTGTATCCTGATCATCAAATCATATTAATAGTGCTTTGTTAAAGTGAAATTCAAATTATACAAACACAAACATCTACATTTCTGTCCTTCTATACTGCAGACTGATTCATTTAGAACATGTTCTTTAAATATTTCATGTATATTACGTATATTTAATTTTTATAAAATGTTTAATAATCTTAGGTAATTAGGTGTTTTTAGAATAGATGTTTGGGATGGTGTTTTGAATTTATTTTAAATACTGTAATGTACCTTTTGGTGCTCATAGTCGGGGAAACTAAACATTTACAAAATGGGTCTCTTGTTCATTTGAGTAAGGATATCTACGGATAACAAACTGAAAGAAGCACTCTTATACCTTAAATTACTTTTAAATCACCTTCACACCTGCTTAATTTAAACAAGAATGAAAAACAAAGCTCTCTCAGAGCTGTTTCCTTTTCTACCTGTAATAATTTTACATTCCTTACCAGCTACCATGAATAGCAGTTAACATGATCGATGCACTCTAAAAAAAATTAATGTGTTTCTTTTTCTTTCTTTTCCTTCTTGCAGTATTAGGGATTGAACCCAGGTCCTCCATTATGCTAGGGAACTGTACAATTTAGATACATTCTAGCTCTTTTTAAATTTTGAGACAGGGTCTAGCTAAATTGCCCATGCTGGCCTACAATTTAGGATCCTTCTTGCAAGCCTCCTGCTTCAGCCTCAGAGTAGCTGGGATTACAGGGATGCGCCACCACACCCGGCCCTAAAAAGGTAAATGATGTCAGTAGTTACTAATAATAAATTACAGTATATTTTAGTCAAAACACAACAATGTATCAGTAATTTATCTGACACACTACTTTGACTCAAATAATATTCTCTTCACTGGTTAATTTAGCAGTACCGTTTTCATGACTATAAGTAAGCACATTACAAACAAACAAAAAAAAATCAGTATATTTTGGTCGCTGCAGCATTAAACATCTAATTATTGAGGTTTGGCCACAAGATGCAATTCCGTTGTTTTCTGGGAGCATAGGTGGCTAACTGAATATCCCTCTTGTCTCTTACTATGGACTCTCCTGGGGTCAGAAAAGGCCTTATGCACTTAACCACTGTCCCCAGGATTTGAAGACATTTGGGTATTGGGGCGGGTTGAGAACCATTTGTCAGTGCCGCTAAAGACTTCCTAAGAGAGTGGGCAATTGATGGTRAAGAGGCAGGGGGGCAGGTTATTTCCGGGAAAAAGCCTGGTCGATTGTCCGGAAAGAAAGGGTGATTTGAAGAACATGGAGAGCCGCCAGCCGGTCTGTTCGGTTCGGTTGGGCGGTGGCCTGGCTCTGCGCGTGGCTGCAGGGAACAAGGAACCGCTAGCTCGCCGCTCAACTCGCACCCATCCCTTCCCTCCTTCCAGCCGGGCGCGCTCCCGGACTCCCGCGGCCCCGCCCCTCCGGAGCCCGCCCATCCCGCTCACGCGCGCCGCCCGAGTTGGCTGGTCGGAGCGTCCGGTGGGCGGGGCGCCGCGCTGACGTTGCCCGGGATGCGGACAGGTTCCGCCGCCGCCTCCGCCGCCGCCTCCGCCGCCTCCGCCTCTTCTGCCACCGGGGTTTGTATGAAAACACCGGGCGGCGGGCGGCGAAGGATCCGCCGCGCGCCCAGCGAGCAGCCGCCGGTACTGACGGCCCGGAGCCGGGTGCCGAGCCTGGAGCGGCGGCTCTGCGCAGTCCCCGCCAGCGCCCCAGCTTGAGCCGGTGAGCGTCCCCGCCGCTGTCCGCTCCTCCGCAGTCTCCGGGCCGCGGGAGTGGCGGGCCGCGGCGTCCTGGGGCTTGGGGTGCGACTTCGAGTCCCTTAGCCCCTCACTTGACAGGTTGTGTAACGCGTGTCTTTCTTGCGGGGCGGGGAGTTGGACTAGATCTTCAGGGAAACCCTTGATGGGTTGGAGCTTTGCTTGGCGTTTGGAAAACGCTACGCCTTATCCCCGCCCCTTGGACACCCGGCCACCTTAGTCCTTATTCCCGGCACAGGGGTCCTCCGCTCCAGCCAAGCGCCGGTAGCCGCGTGGAGTGCCGTCGAAGGGCGCTGGGGCTGGCGGCTGGGGGCTTGCGGCTTGCACCTTGTCTCGGGCCCGCACCGGCGTGAGCCGCCGCCTGTGCTTCGGAAACCCTACGGTACCCGGCGGAGAGCCAGCAAGGAGGGGTTTGTGCATTGGCGATGGTAGTGTTTGCTTCCASGAGCTGGATGGTTCGCGCTGAAGTGTATTCTGTGTTTACAACTTGTCCGCTWGTGGGGTTGATTGGAACCAGAATCAGATCACCTTAGATGACAGTGCAGAGTTGCAGGTTCTCGGTTGTTGGTGTTCAAGGACTCCTGTACCCAAATGCAAAGGCTCGCTTGGCTTTACCTTTGTTTTTCTCACAAGCTTTTTATGAGCACCAGGACAGTTTGAATTGGTTGGGTTCCTTTTCTGGGCGTTTACCCACTGTAGAATGGAGTTTTAACACATCATAGTGTAGTCAATGTGAATGTTGATGATCTAAAATTCATTTCCCGTTTTAATATAGCCTGCTTAAGTGCGTGCCCAAAGATAACACTTAACGGAAATTTTCTTTGGCAACATGCTAGTAATTCTTTGTGGGTATTGAAAAAAACATCCACACAGAATTTTTTCTTAAGGTGCTCAAAATTGTATTGGTGTTTAATTCTAATGTATGACAGTTTTAGTTAGAAAGGACTTTCATAATCTTCTTGATCACTCATTTTCACTTACTTTTTCTTTGTGTAAATTGAATTATCACTTTCTTTGTTACTGTCTGAATTATTCTTACAAATTCTTTTTTTCTCCGAAAAACAGAAAGTTATTTTTATAATTGTGTTGTGGAATGTTTTCAGTTCAGCATACCAAAAAAGAAGTGATTTATTTAAGGCACTTTAAATGGTACATATTTTAAAACATGTGCCAAATGTTAAAACCAAACAGCCCTGGAACATAAGAATTTCCTATGTAGAATTACTGTTAGTTGGTGGTRTGTAATCAGCTCCCTGTTTCTCGTCCTGAAGTCTCAGTTCTGTGACTTGTTCAGTTTCCCATTGTACTTCTCTTGAGTCAAATTCTACAATGAAGGTATAAATTTATTTATAATAGCCTCAATGTGCTGCCTTGAATTGGTTCATCACATGTTTAAAACTGCATTCTCACTTGAACTCTGAAATGAAGGGGGTAGGCTTAAAGCTATTTTTATGTTTGGCCATGCAAAACATTAAATCTGTTATTATAATTTAAACTTGTAGAAGTAATTTTTATAAAGTTTCTTAATTGTCTTGAATCAAGGCTTTAATTCTTCTAAGTCTGGCTAGACTGCTATGAAGTAATGATTTACCTCCATTAGTGAAAGGAGGTCCAAGACTTGTGAAATTTTGTAGTTTATGTTCTATATTAAAACTCCTCCACAGTGTTCATCTKCAGAATCTCCTCTTGCTTGAAGTCCCCCAGTACCTGCATATTGAACAGTATACATGAATAATAATGGATAAACCTGTCTTCTGTAAGTTAGGAGCTTTCATTAAGGAGGGGGTGTTAATGTAAACAACAAAAATTGTGTAGGGTGGGCACTGAATTTTAAACTTCACATGTTATTCTTGGTTACTGTGTTGTTCTGTAGTTTGGTGGCTAGGGATTTGGGCCTCTGCCAGTTTGGCTGGGTTTGAGTCCTGATTTTGCTTTAGGCAAGTTGTTTATCATTTTTGTGCTTCAATTTTCTCAACTCTGAAAGTGGGGATAGCAGTGATATATACYCTTAAATGATCTTGCATATTAAAAGTTAATACATGTAAAATGCTTAGTCCACACAGTGCTTAGCACATGTTACTGCTTTCCTCAGTCTTCCAAGAGATCTAGTAGACTGAAAAAAGACTTCAGGCTGGGCTCCGCACTGCACCCTGTAATCCCAGTGACTCAGGAGGCTGAGACCGGGAGGACATTAGTTCAAAGCCAGCCTCAGCAATTTAGCCAGGCCCTAAGCAATTTAGTGAGACCCTGTGTCAAAGTGTAAAATAAGAAAGGGCTGGGAATGTGGCATGGTGGTTAAGCACCCCTGGGTTCAATTCCTGGTACTCCACACACACACACACACACCAAAAAAAAAAAAAAGATTTCAGGCTGGCAGGCAATATTAGTGCAGATTAATTCTGTTATGATCAATTTATTCCTTTTATTCCTTTGGGCTGAGAGCTTAGTCTCACTGTCCTGCCTTTGAAACATGTAAGTCAGTTTTAAATAAAACAGCTACACCAAGAGCGGGGTWCGCTAGGATATTGCTGGAGAGTTTCTGAAATATCCTTGTCTGTTTCTTCTGACAGAACCTTGGATTATCTCCCTCATGTTGGTGTTGGCTACTATTTTAATCACCTGTTTTTGAGCTGTTGTTGGTGTTTCTTTGACATGTGCTGTTATCAAAAGTACTATCAAAATTTTAATGTATATATGTGTTTATCTAATRTACAAAATAACTTTTATCTAAATATTCTTCTTTTTATTTTCTTCTTTAATGATGTTGCATAGAGTGAAGTTTTGATTTGATATTATCTTCCTTTTCAACTTTCATGCAGTTTTCCTAGGAATTTTTTCCTCTCGCTAATGATTTTACRTGCTAGTTCTTAGTTTGTGTGGATCTGATACAAATGGAGTGTCTCTTATTCAACATGATTGGGGCCAGAGGTGTTTCAAAATTTTGTTTTGGATTTTGGAWTATTTGCATATACTTAATGAGATATTTTTGGGGTTATACCCAAATCTAATCAGGACATTCATTTATATTTCATATATACTTTATATACATATTCTGAAGATAATTTTAAATAATATTTTTAGTGTGCCTCATTTTGACTGCAATTTGTTAAATGGGGTCAGGTGTCAATTTTCCACTTGGGAGTTAAAATTATAAATTTTTATTTTTTGGATTAAGGGTACTCAACCTGTATTAATATTCTATTCTTACATGTTTTCAAACTTTTGGTTTTTGGACTCTCACATGCTTAAAAAGTTGCTGAGAAACCTCAGAAAGTTATCTGTGGATTACACCTCTACACAGTGTAAGAAGAGTGGTATTGTTTTACATTTTTGTAAATGTTTTGAGATTTTCTTTTCTTTTTGTAGTGCTAGGGAGTAAACCCAAGGCCTGTCATAAGCTAGGCAAGTTCTCTACCACTGAGCTACACCCCCAGCTTCATTTCTTATAAATTGTTAATATCTAGTTTAATGCAAGCAGCTCGATTATTGCATTTTTTCTGCATTTAGTCTATTGCAGTATACTTTGTTTAGATTGATATACATGTATGTAGCGCTCCAGCCTCATACAGTTGATAGTTGGAAAGGGAGGAATATTTTAATTGTCTTTTCAGATAATTGTGAATAGTTTTGTTTGGCATTCCATGAAAACTCGACAAATGGCACTTTCTTAGGGTTGGTTGAAATGTGGAAGTTGAAGTCATATCATTAAATTTTTTCATACTCTGTTAGATTAAAATCCWTTAATTTGAACTCTGAATTGACTAGTGCTTGAATTTATGCTTGAATTTATAACATCATTCCTTGACCATTTGTAAATATTGGTTCAGTGATTACCCATGCCTAACTTTGTAACATCATTCCTTGGTCATTTGTAAATAATGGTTCAGTGAGTTATACACATCTTCCAAATATTGATATATTTCATTATACAATACCAAAGAAAAGTCACATTTGTAAATATCACTGTCATTTCATCAGAAAYAGATTGCTGGGAAGCTGTCTACACTGAGATGTGATTGTGGGTATGAGTTTTCCCAAGTTCTGATTTTTTTCTAGAATGCTCAAGTTTTATCATTGGCAACAAGTATGATTTGCCAATTGTTTTCTTGAAGTGACAGTTTCACTTTATGTATGAGAAATCCTTTTCCAGAATACCCAAATTTTGGTAACAGTAACCTTTTATTTCCCACATTTATTTATTGATGGCAATCATAATCTTTTAGAATTTTTTTCAAAATGGTGTTTCATGAAAAAAAGTCTAAATTTAAACTTGCAATTCAGTTATAGAACTGCATTGCCATGAAACATCCATTAGCCATTATAATTATGGGACAGAAATGTTTTGTGCATACTTCTTCTTTTAACATACAGAATAGTAAGAGTTGTACCTTCAAGGGCTTGGATTTAATAAAATTAACAATTTATTGATTATTCAAGAACRTTCTTAAGTGAAAGTAAATTTCTCTCTTCCTGTAAAAATATATTATATAAATATTTATTTTTTAGTTGTAGTTGGACACAATATCTTTATTTTATTTATTTATTTTTATTTGGTGCTGAGAATYGAACCCAGGGCCTTGCATGTGCTAGGTGATCGCTCTGTCGCTGAGCCACAATCCTATTCCATCTTCCTGGTGTTTGAGGGTGAAAAATATAATGATTAATATTATAGTTGGTGACACTCTAAGACTGTCAGGACTCCGAGGGTCCATGGATGACCCTGCAGTTTAAATCATAATGAGGATTTCTGCAAAACTTTGATTAGGATGGGCAATCTCTGGTCTTTTTTTGCTTTAAGACTTTGGATCATGATAAACACTTTATTAAGAAAAAAAATTAAATAGAGTAAAGGGTTATTTACAGAAGGTTGAGAGGTTTCTAAATGGTTTTAGTCAGCTGTTGATGCAAAGGAATTATAGTTAGTTATCTGAAATGGCATTATCTAAAGACAAAAATTAGATTTGG